TCATAATATTTATTCATCACGTGTTATAAAATAAATTTAGAAAAAGAAAGGTTTTTATTACACTGTCACCTTTCTTTCTTTTCAATTTAATTGATTAATTTGGCTTATGAACGATTGAAGAAAATTTTAGTTGCTATTAACCCATTTACATCGTTAATTAGAATTTAATTACAACTTGATCATCAATATCGTTACTTCAGAAAAGACAGAAAAATATTCTTGTCAATACTTAAAGCTGCAATAATTTCCGAACTACTAACCCATTTATATCACGATTTAATCATCAATGTTACTACTCCAAAAAGAAAGGAAAATGTTCATATAAATATTCAAAGCTGCAATGATTTTCCAGCAAATGCTATGTTATTAACCCACTTGAATTACAGGACCTGCCACTTTTAACGGTAACAGTACAATTGATGACAGACCCGCATCAACGAAGCCTAATTATATACAATTTATCAAGTCGTTCATAATTTGTCCCGATCTGAATATTTACTATTCTCTATTAACCCATTAAGGATAAATTGTGATCTATCGTAATGTTACAAGTGTTTCAATTTCTTGAAATTTCGTAATATTGAAGGATATTAAACAAATCCTTGAAACTTCTTGCCTTGTCAAAATGATTGGCTTGCCATAATACAACGTTGGTTCGCAAATAAGTTAATACCAATTGTTATATTTGCGAAACTGCTCTAAATATGAGCTTACATTTAAAGATTGTAATTCTGATTGTGCAATGAGACAATCTCATATATCAATGAATAAATAAATAAAATATCAGAATGCAAAGTATAACATAAATTAATAAACAAATTGCAGATTTTTATGCATTTTTATATTTTTACTAATGTAAAAAAATGAATGGCAAAAAAAATGTTTCTTCATCCACCATATGTACATATATTAATATACTGTGGTATTTTATACATTTTTACATATGCAACGCTTCAATTTCTCATAAATGCATAAAAATCCACCATTCGTTAATAAGTACAACATTTTCAATCAATCGCGAATTATTCCACGAGCAGACATTGTTCACGAAATATTCCGTTTCGCGATGCAAATTAAGTGAAATACTCTTGCAATTTCGCAACGAAGCATCATTGAACACAAATTATTGCGAAAGAAGAGGACACCATCGTGTCCCGTCACGGTAGCTGCAATCGGTTCACCTTGAACCAATGCGAACTAACCTACTCTCGATGTACGATTTCCACGTACGAACATTCACAACACCTGCTATTCTTCGATGCTAACGAGGCGATTCGATTCGAGCGTTTCGCGATTCCCTGCCGTTTTAATCGTCGAACAAAGCCACGTTTGTGGCCAATCTCGGCTGGTCACGCGTGCTAATTACACGCTGCATCTCTCGTAGTCAGCAAGCAACTGGACTGGCTATCTTTAAAACGATGGATATTTTCCATCGTCTCAGTTTCGAAGCGAAAGTCATTCGGTATTATGAAAAAACTCGATTGTAGATAGTTTAAAACTACTGAAAGTCTTGAAAAGATTTTCAAGAATATTCTTCAAGAACTTTTCCCACTTTTCAAGTGCTTACTATGCCAATGTAAAAACAAACAACGTATTCCATAGTTCAGATTTTTCAAGAACTTTTTCCATTTTTCAAGCTTTTTAGTGCTTAATATGTTAGTATAAAAAAGAATAAAGATACGTAAATGTCTCAGACTTTCTACAGTTTATTCAATATATATCAATGATGCACTATGCTTGGGATAGAACGTTGAAAATATGTGACAAATATATACGTCCGTATCTCAGACTTTCCAGATTTTCCTGGATATATTACGTCAATGATACTCTATTAGGGATAAAGCATTGAGAGCGCTTGTAAAATAGACAGACTCGAGAGAAATCAATACTTTAAAGATCCACTTCCAAGAGATTATTCGAGATTAACTAAAAATTTCAAGCTTTTCATAAGAAGACAAGACTTCGTATAAACATTAGACGCACATATCACCATTCGGATAAGAAGAAATCTTTGATTAGAAAAATCAAGGATCTTTCAAGAGGCTGCAGCCCAATGCATCTCCATTGTACCAACATAAACGCGTCTGACGTTTGCGAAACGTATCCCCTGGCGGAGAGTTTCGTTAGCCAAGGAATCACGAAAACGCGGTGTCGCGAGCCAAGAAAATCCACGAACGACCGCCGTCGACTGTCGTCGATCTTTCACGGCGAAAGCAACGTCCGTGACAATCGCGCGATGACCGCTCGACAGCTCGAACGAATCGGGAACGTGCGTGCGAGACATTCGCGGATTCTCATCTTTCCACGCTAAATCCGTCTTCCGGGGCGCGATTCATTCGAAGCTCTGCCAGAGTTATTCGAGGTAGCTGTTTCAACTTGTCGCGCGTAATTTGCACGCTTCGAGAGAAGTTAATAAATCGTATTATGGGCGCCATTTGTGCCTGTCACGCGTGAAAGATAATACCGCGGACGGTGAAGTATGTTACTCTCAGGACATGGAGGCTCGAAGAGAACGGCTTTTTCGCGAGGTAACAGCACGGATCGCGAGTAAGCTGAGGGGCTTCCTTCTAATTCGAAATTGTGGTAGCGTCGTGGCCTTTTAAAGGGATTTTCCCTAGGAGGAATCGAGCGCATGTGAATCATTGAGAACAACCTGGTTTGTTGAACCGGTTGAGGGATCAAGGACGACCGAGTGCGTTTCTTGCTTCAACGAGCGAAAAGTGTAAATCTCGGTACTTAAAACACGCTCGTATTTTGCGGTCAACGAAGTGCCAGTCTGCTTAAAATCCCTTTGGCCCGTACTAATTCCTCGATTTACTACTTTACTTACCGTGACTCGCAAAAGTATTCGTACATTCGCCATAGAAGACTTTTAAAACCTTTTATATTGTGCATACGTGAAACATTTTGAAATTTAATTACAATCTAGCTGAAAATATCGACGTACATTTAACAAAATTCATACATATTGTGAACAACGTCAAAATAACTGTTTTAAACAAGTGATTGAAATGTTGGATAATTCATATTTTATAATATTCAATTTCATTTTTAGAATCGGTTAACATTCCACGAATATTGTCGTGATAATCGAGTGTCATTACAGTGTTGATGAAATTTCGTAAAAGGTGATTTTCGCAAGCTATTATACACCAATCAATTAGTACATTACTACAAATCTAATTGAAACAGCTTACCATTAAAAATAATTCGATGCAAATAAACTTTAACTGGCTTTTTATTTTTATCTTAAATTTGACATATTTATTTTTTTCCAATTACCGAGATTAAAATAATTAAAGTAGAAAATGGCTCGTTCAACTTGCTTTTAGATTTGATATAATTCTCTTAATTGCAAGATACATCGTGCTTTTTTTTATATATATATATATATATAAACGGTCGGACGGAATTAATCCACTAGTACTTAAATACGTCAATCAATTCTCTTAATGACTGAGTCACTCGGGCGATTCACAAGGAAACAAAATGGTCCCACGATCCCTTCCAATCGAATGATCGCACAATATCGCAGATAAGAGAAGCTTAAAGTGAGAAAGTCGTGATACTGAATCTTAAGACGACCTTCGTTAACAGTAAGAGCAAACAAAAAGGAAGGCCGAATTAGATAAATATAATTTTTCTCATCTACTTCATATCTCTGTTTTCTGAACTGCGGTTTCATAATTTTTTAAAAATAACTTTTACTTTGACCAAAAAAATAAATAAATAAATAAATAATTTTCCTAAATAATGCAATTATAATGAGATGCAATTACACGAGTATAGTGTAATAATATAATAGTAGATATTTAAATGGATATTCAAAGTAATGTCCATTCTTCGTTTGCGGCTCGAATGCAGTCGTCGGTAATACAACCCAGTTTGCACACGTGCACGAGAAACTGAGACCAATCGAGGCCGACTTCGTCACGTTGCATTCATTGCAATATGATTTTAATTTTGCATTATTAGCATTTCGTGGATCAAGGATGCTCTCCTTCGCACAACGATATTTCGTCTTATCTGCAATTAGCGACTAATTTTGCTTCAACGAATTCTTTTGGATCTCGTTTCCAAAAAAAAAAAAAAAAAAAATGGAAAAGAGAAAAATTAAGCATAATTATCAGCTCCACAGTGAAATTACTCGTGTAATATTTTACGAAACGTTAAATGTTTTTGATTTAGCTTCGGTTTTATTCAGAGACCGTATTTAAATTCGGTCGAAGAAAAAGGAACGTCTAGATACGCTGCATACCAGAAATTCGCACGTTCATCCACGTTTTATGAGGACTCGGTATCAGACAATGAGACCATAAATATGCAGAATGAAACCATGAAGCGTCGATGGGACTCAGTCGAATGACGTACAGTACACGATTTCCCTGTGACAACGTGCACGTATTTATTCTTATACATCCGGTATCCGGACTCGGAACAATGTCAACGATCGATGCCAATGAACCGTGCCTGAAATTCCACTTTCATTTCTTTGACGTATCAATACGACGAATCGACACTCTTTTGCGACAACGTCATTGAAAGTTATTCAGGTTATCGATCGCGGGAAATATGATAAAAGATAAGACATATATTACACGTTCTGACATAACTAGCGAAATGGATTGGTAAAATAAGTAATTAATTTTATCCGGTTATTTTGTTCTTTGATTTTAAACGAATGATTAAAAGTATAGAACAAATGCCTTGGTTGATAAATCGAAGTAACCAATATCTCAGCGTCAGTATCGGACAATTAGCTCAATAGCTTTGTGACTCCCTAGTCTATAGCTTCGTGTATCAATTTGCCGAGTGTGTTAGAATTAATTTAGTACAAGTAAACACGAAATTCTACGATTTGATAGTAGACATGAAATTTCCCAGTCTCTTAATTTGATTAGAAGAATTTTTGTAATCGAATGAAGAACGATTTCATTACTCTTTATTACCTCTAAGTACATACGATTTTTTTTTCTTCTTTCCAAAAACGAAATCAAAGCTCAAGGTGCTGCTTGTTTTACATCGTACTGAATCACAATAGATGCCTGATAATAATTTTTAAAAAGGCATTTGAAGCAGTTTCTTTGATAAAATAGATCTAGCATGGAGGGTTCACAAGGTCCTTAAAGACTACTTCAATTATTACCACCGGATGCGACCGATATGCCTTTGCAGAAAAGATACATTGCACTTGACATCTCGGCGTGGTGATAATTTTAGCTCGTTACAAGACATTTACGAGGATACAGCCGGGACCGTTTATTCGTTCACGAAAAGGAATGTGCACGACACTCACGAGGGATGACTTCCCGCCGTTACTGATTTGTCTACGGTGGAGCCGTCCCTGTATACGCTCGTGGGAAAACAAAGTTCGGAGCTACAGGTCGATAACTTTCAAAAAAGGAACATCTTTCCAATTAAGTGTGAATACTTCTTTACAAAAATAATCCCTGAAGACATTTCAAGTTACATTACAAATCCATACTCTCTCTGTACATCCTCTGTGAAGTATCGCAAAAAAAAAAAAAAAAAATACATAGCTCCAATAAAAGAGCAAACGTAAAAGGTCGAATCGTTGTCGAATCGTTAAAAAAAAATCACAGTACCTTTCAAACGTTTCCCAGTGAGTTGCTATTTCGATCGGCGCCACACGCCGATGTCTAGACCGAACAAGTTATTCTCGGCCCGCACTTTAGTACCATAATAAGCATCGACAAAGGCATTCCTTTGCTGCCATCTGTTAGAGAATGTAGCCAACTACTCGCTGAGTTTGATTGACTATGCTCTGTAGAACTCGCGAGACACCGCGCGGAAAACAACAGTATTTCTCTGGATTGTGTCGCGCGAGTAACTCGTTGGGAAACGAGCCAACGTTAATTCGAAGTACCCTGTTTTCTTTCTCCCGATCGCCCCGTGTTTGATAATCGTCGGCATTCCGGTCGCTGAATAATAGCAGCGCACCGAAACGCCACACCGGACAATACGCTTTTGTCTCACTGTTCCCCGATCGTTTACCGATCTAGCTTTTTTCACAGAAACAAAAAAAAAAAAAAAAAAAAAGGAAAGAACCATCGAGTTACAGAGCGACGATTTATCACGTTGAAATTACAGCAGAGACGTGAGATGACAGTCGCGGAGATAATAAAACGTTCACTTACCCGTCTCCCTGAAGTCTGTTGTCGACCACTTGGGGGGGCAACGGAGTCGACAACTGTCTGACCAGATCGTCCCATTCCCTTTCTCTTTGCTGGAACTTCTCCTGCAGCCTTTGCTTCTGCTTTTGATACTCCTTGAACAGGTCGCCGTTGTAACTTTGTTCGAGATGTTCTCCGCCTAAGGAAGCTCGAACAGGGATCGCGGTGGGTTCCGTGATCTTCGCTGCCACTCCAGTTGGCTTCTCTGCCAGAGAGTCTCTTCTGGAACTTCTGGCCGTCGATGGAGCGGGAGATTCTCTGCCCGCGATTCTACGTTCTGGCGTGGAAGCCGCGGAAGGCTCGGCTTTGATACCTAAAACGAGAAATACACAAGAACGTCAATATCTCAGAAATCGATACGTCAAACTATCTTGATGGTAATAGATGGATCGTGACGGTAATAGATGGATCGTTGATGTCAAGTCCACCGCGACTTTCGACTTGACGCGACCGTCTAAATGCTCAAAGGACCACCCAAACAAACGTGGGATCGAAAATACCGAAATCGACGTGTTCTACGGAGTCTCGAATTGTTTGACTTGAGCGTCTATTATGGTATGCTCCCGATGAGCGTATATCGTGGTCTCGATATGCTCCCGTTGAGCATGTATGCTGATCTGCTCCCGATGAGCAGCTATATGCATCCGATTTGCTCCCGTTGAGCGTGTATACTGATCTGCTCCCGATGAGCAGCTATGTGCATCTCCTTTTTCTGTCCCCAAGTCCTCCCGATGAAGACTTGGATATTTTTCCTTCCCGGAGAACACTGGAGAAAGGGATTCCGAGAACCGAATGCGGGCGGAAGGAATTTGACGAGAAAGTGAAACTTTCTCCTTCCTAGAGGGCCATATGGACATCCGTATTTGGGGCAGGGATGGTTTGTAATACTATCGATGGAATGCAGGCCTAGTGCCATTTATATGTTAAACATATAAATCTTCTAAACCATCCCCGTACAAATTACGGTCGTTGCTGACCTTAACAGTTGACACATATATATATATGTATTTTAAAATCCAACGCAAAGGCATCGAGCTAATTTCTACACGTGATAAATAGAAATAAAAATAGAAAAGAAGGCATACCCTCGGGACTCTTCGATTGTCCTCTGGTCCTCGGTGGAGCTTTCGGCTGGCTGTTGGTCGTTGTCTCTTGTATGGAAGGCAGCTGCTGAAACTCGGCGTAGCTCGAGCTAAGAAAGACGTCACCCTCGTTCTCAAAGAGTCTGTCCACGCTCGTGTTCATTAATTTGTTATTCTTAAAACCGGTTAGATGAAAGCTCGCGAAAGATGATCTCGACATCGGGTTTATATCACCGGTGGACAGAGCCATTAGCGCCGCAGATGGTATCGGTGTATTTTTAGGCCCGGGGCTCCTTGGTCCAAGTCCAGCTTCTAAAGCGGGCACTAAACTGCGAGACATCATGTCAGCGGCGGATCTTGGTCTGGTGAACGGCATCGCGCTATGCGGGAACGTTTTCGGCTTTATGGGGGTGATCAACATGTGTTCCGTCCACGAGGTCTCCAACGACGGTCGTTCTAGTCGTTCCACGTCCACGTTTAACGTTCGTTGAGCGAATGGTACGGCGAACGTTTCAGGCGGTATACTCTGCAGCCAAGAAAGTAGACTTAGGTCGGAATCGCTGAAACCGACCGAGCCGTCTAGCAGTCTCGAGAAATTCATTTCCACCTGTAAAAAAAAATTCATGTGTCAATCGTTTTTCTTTTTTTTTTTTTTTTAACACAGAGTGTGTATCGCAATATTAATTATACGACGTAAATGGAAACAGTTTTCATGTTCAAATTTTTTTTTATTATTAAATTTCGTACAAGTATCAATGTCTCAACGTTTACGAAAAATTGTAAAATATACAGAGGGTTAATATGTAAAATAGTAGCTAGTACTATTTCGAGTACCAATATAAATATTACTCGAAATATTCTTTTCAATATTTTAAATTGATTGACAAATTTTTGGGGATAAGGGTAACCTCGTTGATTTCAACAATTTTGAAATATATATCATAAATTTCGAATAATCCCTTTCTATGATATTTTATATTTGTAACTACGTACAATTAATGCGAACGCCAATAAAAAATATTGACGCCAGGTCACTCTCAATAATTATCAAACTAATTAACAATATTGTCAGAATACCTGTTCACTCTCCTTCGAGCCGGTAGCTTTAGCCTGGCAGTAATTCACGCAAGACTCGTACAAAATGCCCTTGATGATCAGCTGTATGAGCCGATCGTTCTTCGCGGAGGTGACGGGATGTGCGGGGTCGGTGCTCTTTCTGTCGCCAGGCAGAAACTTCTCGACCAACGGGTGCACCTCGCGGAAGCATTGAACTCTCGCGTTGCTCGGATTCCAATCCTTATACTGCAGGTGGTCCGTGAGCCGCGGCAGCGTCAGCAACAGGCACAAGCTGCTGTACTCCTCTTTGGATGGCGCGACCTTCTCGAGGTCGCTCAATACCTTCACCACCTCCTCGACCGCGTTGTCGACGCTGCCGTTCGTGCCGGCGGCGATCAGGTTCGCCTCGGACTTGATGCACAGCAGCTCCACGTACTTGTGCCTGAGGATCGAGTAGGTGAACTTTCTCATGTCGAAGTCCGGCAACGCCTCCAACGGCTGAATGAACTCGAGCACGTCGTCCCATTGCCCGTCGAGGATCAGCTGACGAAGAAACAGGACGTCGTCGCTGTACTGGCCATTTATCACGCCGGTCTCCCGTTCCAACGAGAGCTGCGAGATGTGAAGGTCGCGGCTGTGGAGGAACTCCAAGGTCAGTCGTACCACATCCTCCTCGCGCAGCGTCAGGTGCGCCGCCGGCATCACGTACCGAATACGCAACCTGGACAGTTTCCAGAGCAGAGAATTACAGCCTCGTTACCTTCGATATCGAGACGCGACGCGTTACAAGAAATTTCGATCGATAAAGCGGTTGTGTAGAAAGTAAAGGTCGGGCAGTTTCGATGCAGATCTAGCAATCTCACGCAAGTTACGTTATTTACGATTAAGACCGAGGAGAGGAACGATTCTCCGATAAAATTAGAAGAACAACCTACATATGGATTACAACTATGGTAGAGGGGCACGTCGAAATTCGCTCGGTCAGTAATACTAAGGTTCAACGCATCACGATCTGATTCACTGGAATCGCTGTTCGAACGATACGTGTTATTGCGAAACTTACGAGTAATGCTATGCTCCCGAGTAAGGAATGTGCGAAATCCTTGCTTTTACAAGTTCGTTGCACTTGGAGGCTACCGGCCCTGCTAACACGCCCTGATTGTCGCACCAACTGGGTGGATAGATTCGGACGTTGATCTGCCTATTCTCCTACTAAACTACTATTTCCTCTGCGTGAATGCAGCAGAACCCCAACACGTATCCACGAGTGGTAGTGAATCTTATTATGCCACGTATCTTTTGTATTATATAATTTTTTTAGTTTATTATTATTGTGATTTATTATACATATAAGGGCATAATCGCGCATGGATATGTTTTAATCCTCTGCAGTTCTGTGTCTAATAAATCCAGTATCCAATCTGTTTGAACGAGGATTTTACTTCGACAGAATATCAATGAATACCAATAGGTTACAATTAAGTTTATCTTTTATTTTTATTGGAAAAGCAAATATTTTTTTTCCCCCATTCCTTCCAATTTAAGTGCGGACTTACTGAAGTACACTATGAAAATAATTACAGATCGCAAAGTTAACTCTCACTAAAATACTTTTACAATTAGATCAATCGACATTATTGATCAACATTATTTTTCGAAACTTATCTGGAAATTTATGACCACTCTCTAATGAAAAAATTCATGGAAATACTTAAGTGCTTTGCCAGTCGCGGATATTAAATCCGCGAACACGAAAGAGCCCACTATATTTCAAACGTAATAAATCGCACACGGTCGCTTCCGTTTGCATAGCACGAGATACATCGATTTCATGTTTCTAATTCATTCATCAGTCGAACGAGTTACTACTTGAATGGAATCTGCACAGCGAGAAAGCATGGAAATGTTTAACAGATTGGAACAATGAACATAGATTTACGCAAAGACTGTTATTAGACATGGCCACTGTACGACGATGATATTTCATTTTGTCGCAAGACTGTTCGAGGATACAAACGTCAACGAAAACAGGGAGAAATTCAATTCATTTCGAGCAACTTTGTAAAATCTGCTATTTTATATTCCCCTGGAAAATCTCTTTCTACTCAACTTCCTCCGAGAATCGAAGCGCGAACGACGTTGACTGCGAGTGAAAAGAATATCGTTATCGACTGCTTCCATATGGTGAGAAAAGTTTCTCTTGAAATGATTCTTGATAGAGAGAGGCAGGCGTGAATCGTGGATAGACGGCGGATATTTGTGCAATTTTATAGCTTTATGAATATATTCAAAGGAACATAAAGTTTCGTGTGTTCACTTTGACGATTGTATGCAACATATACGTAGGACGTATAAAATGTGCAACTTCTTCCCTTAAATGAAACGAATAGTCTGAAATTTCCTAAAAATATTCGTAAAGAAATAATTGTGAGGCATGGATAGAAACGGAAAATTTATTTATTCCATACTGTTTCGATTTCTCGAAGCAATAGAATACGAAATATGAAATCAAGACGAATGCAATAAGAAAGTTACGTGATACGCGAATTTCATAAAAACACTGACCCATAAAGAACTTCGGCGAACTTGCTGAATTTCCCAAGTTTGTGACATGCTGGCTTGGCAAAAGTGCGTGCACCAAATGTAATATGCGCGACATCAGCACCTTCGTTTATTAATTTATGTGATCGAGGAGCTTCGATCTGCGCAGTTCCGATCCAACTTTCGAATGATCAACGACGAAGTACCAACAATGGCGCAGTTAACGATGGTAAGATTTCAATAATTAACACTTCAAATTTTCACTTGCACGCTCTTGCTTAAGAATTCAGAGCTGTTTAAGATTTCAAAAGAAATAATATTTGTAACTTTAATTGATCATCGATTAATTAATATTTTAGGAATAAACAGATCAAATATCTAGTGCCTAATTATTAATAAATTAAAAATCAAAGTTGAAATTACAACGTACTTACTCCTCGGAGTAATATGTACGAAGAAATATGTCTCAAACTTCCGAGTAACAATGTATGCTAAATGTATGACGCTTGATTTCAGTGTTTATTGGCTATTTTCTTAGTCAGTTATACTGTAGCTGACATTATAGTACAACCTGGCTACGAACAATCGAAAAAATATTCAACACAACAACGTCAGTCTCCTGAAATTTCTCAACACTCGGACTATCACTTGGAGAATCCTGAGTCAAATCCTGATCAATCACAACAAAAAGAACAACAGGAATACACGGATCCAGATTATCATTTGGAACTTTATCCAGTGTACTCGGATTCGTACCATATTCCCGCTGAAGCATTGTCACCGATTTATCCACCTGTTGTGTTACCACCAATGTCAAAGTCTGCCTACAGACGATTACTATCTAATTATGGAGCTGCAGGAGTACCTGTGATTCCACATAATTACCAATATCCTCTGGTGAATATGAAACTCTGATATTTTGATTCGTGTCATTCGTAATATCTCGATCGAAAGCTAATAATATCAATTAATCAATCACTTTTCTTAGCCAGTACACAATCGATACAGAAGGTCTGATCCAAGCGACGAACTCGATGCAACGCGCAAGGATAACCATGATGAAGATGATGTGGCCACGAAGTCGTCCTTAGATGACTCGCTGTCGGTCGTTGATTTGCAAAATCAAGATAGTAAGTTAATTATTCCGAAGTAATATTATTACTGTTACATGTGGAACATTGAACGACAGAGAGGTAAGAGACAAACTCGTTCGTCGAATCGGACTTTTAGAATCTAAAATAAAGTTTCGTTTGTATTTCTGTTTGTGTATTCAATGAATTGTTATCGAGTTAATTAATTTATTTAATTATAAATTTTTGATACGTGAATGAAACGAATTAAAATAAAAATCCGTTTCACAAATATACAACAACATAAAAATTTTATTAATACATACTACGAGTTGAAATCAAATTTCAAACTTGGTCGAAAAATTTTGGCAGTCACTATAGACACCATATGAATTAGTTATTCCCTAATAGGTTCAAACATGCAATTTATAAAAGTAAATATTTTCCCCAATTTACCAACTACGAACTAACTAGCGAAATTTTTTGTCGAAAAATTTCGAACAGACTTTATCGAATGATAATCGTTTCGACAGAGAAGCGCGTGAATACTCGTCAGAGTGTAACTCTGCTGGGTTTGAATCCATCGAACATGTATCCTGTGCAACAACAATATCGTTCCGCGGAATTGAACCCAACTTACGATTCCAATCAAAAGCCTGCTGGAAGCCAGCAAATGAACGCACGAGGAACGCAGCAGCAACAAGCAGCTGCTTTCGTGCAGGCCACGGCTGCTCCTCGAACGAACAACGAAAATCTTCATCACGCGTTGCTGTTGCAACAACCTGGCCATCAACAATTCAGAGTTTCCGATCTGAGAAACTACCCGGACGTTAGCCCTTCTCTTCAATCGTCGCGAATCGAAACAATGAAAGGCCACAGCGAACCACGAACTTTCACGGTAACAGTAACTCCATTTTATCAAAATTTCTACTTAGTATAAATGATTTTATTGAATGAGTTAAGTAGTTGGAAATTAGGAATTAAGTCAGTTAAAAATTCTGTAGGTTCGATTTGCTGGACACGTGTGAATTCGTATCGTTAGGGATATTAATGAAAATTGTAGAATCTAAGTATAATAGGAATGTGTTCTATCCATTAAATCTTCAGTTACTTTGTAGTTACTTTATCATGCATTTCTGCAGTGCGTTCATCTACAATGTAGCATGCGAATAATTCTCAAACGATAACTGTTGATATACAAGCTATATATTTCTTCACAATGTTATGTTCTACGTCGCAATTCATAATCTGGAAATTGCGTGACTAACTCGGTTCCACGTTGCAGTGGGTAAACGAGTTAACTAATAAAGAATAACGAACGTAACTTCGTTTGCAGCCACTGAAACGCGAAGGAGCGGGCGCGCACGACGAAATAGTGGGCTTGAAGTTGGGAAATATCTACAAAATAAAGGTACATCAACACATGCATCGACACGGGAAATTACACGATGGACCAAGGCCGTTAGAAAACCCAATTACTACTGATGCTGAGACACCGGCGCAGCAGGTAGTGCAAATTTATGACAAGCCTGCAGATAATCCGGCGGCAAATTATTTACAAAACGTTGAGTACAACGTGGTGCCTCAAACTTATCCTGTTTCCAACTCTCTTGAAAGTAACGTGAATAATTATGTCTTGCCGTACCCGTACTCGTCCTTCTCCTCGCCGATCAGAATTTGTTTCGAGAGCAACGATGCACAGCCTATCGTGTATCAGCTAGTTTAAACGAATCTCGATTTTGCAAATTAAACGAAATTGTGTTTCTTGTATCTTCCGCAAGATGTTTTATATTTCTCCGCGCGTATCGCCGATCGCGTGTCTATCAAGTGTACAGGCTTCATCGACCTTAATCGACGATTAGATAGACATTCTTTAATAAATGTACAATCACAAACACCAAAGCGCGTTCAAGTTTTCCAACCCCGTAAAATATTACACCTCACGTGCTGTTAACAACAAGACGGCGCATAATCGGTTTTTAATGCTTCATGTTCGCCAACCGGATTCTCAACGTTCGGCCTCGATGGCCGCTTAATCACGGAACCGATTCTAAAATACGACCGCCAATGCGGTAACCAATCGATCGAGTCTCTGGTTTTACGCAATCCGCTCAAAGGATTGAGTATAAATTTCAGATGTAGGCATTAAGAATTTTTAGTCGGATACAATATTACAAAACAAAAACATGCTACTCCATTCGTATAAATTATTAGAGTCTATGGTTTTTGATGTGTATTAAAAAAGACACGTAAATACATGAATTAAAAATTCGCTTAACATTATGCATTTATTCTTCGTACGTATGAAAACATACGACTTATTATGTGCGCTTCTGATTTTTGTGCTTTGTTATAACAAATTCAATTACATTAATCGCATGTTTATCAGATATACAAGCTATTGCTTAAAACAAAGGCGGCTAACTGGCGGCCTGTGGGCCCTTGTCCCTACTCCTCTGTGCCCCACTCTTTCACGCAACGAGTGGAGGGGGTAGCGATCAGGAAAGTAGAGACAAGGGCTGCCAGTTAGCTGCCTTTGATTTAAAACACGGAAGCATTAATTACTCGTGTATTTAATGTATTTGAATATTCGTCTAAAAAAGAAACCTCTAATACGAATGCATCTGAGACTCATAGAAAATCTTGCAAGCAATTTTCACGATCGTGAGCGAGTTTTCGTGAGAAACCAGCCATTAGCTGTCTTTCCGTTTTGCCTTAACGCAGTCTTAACTCACGAAATCGCGAAAGATTTCCCTGCCATTAACCCCGACCATCCCTTAATTAGGGATATCAGCGCCGTCGGGGACGAACTTTCGTCAGAGTGCGCGTTTCGTAGACCGGTTGCAACAGCAGTGGTTGCGGACTCCGAGACAGCCCGAGCGACTGAACGAAAATTCAATTTCGGACACAATTTGCCGGCAGCGTTAATTGGCCTGAACAGCGAGGCGAGAAGTTTCGCCGATGCACGACGACGGGGTCATCGAATGCCAGGAACCGGAAAAGGAGAGCAAACAACGATCGTATAATTTCTGATTCTTCACTCGGGACCCCTCTTTCCGTCTCAACCTCTACTCGGGATTGGACAAATTCTATTTTAAAACGAAGACGAAAAATGACAATTTGAAAAAGTGAATCATGTCCGGTAGCGTAGAGAAAGTAATTTCGTTCAAGTCAAATGAATCATTTGGAAATAATCTTTTATTTGGATGAATCCATTGAAACGAAGTTAACAAATGATCCCAGCACCAAGTGAAGTATACCACAATAGCATTATTTATTACATATACGTACATTCTTAATACGAAACATACACGTACATTTGCATGTTCTTATTAAATATAATAAATTAAATTCATAATACGTACATTTGTGTGTACTTAATTTGTTACATTTAAATTTTATGCAATGCATATAAATTATAAAGAAGAAGAAGGTGAGGAGAGAGCACAATGGCCGATTGCATCTTTCCACGTTCATTGCAACATGATCTTCTTTCGACAGATTCTTTTTTTAAAGAGAAAAACTGTTCGTTCGTTGTAGTTCGTAACGTGTTATTTAAACAATCACTTCTCAAATACTTTTTCTCCAATAATGCCCAAGCCTGTCCCTGTCACCGTTCTCTCTACGAAACGTAATTTCTTCGAAGCTGCGAAATTTCAACGATGTTTGCCGTTCGTTACGCTGGTCGAAAGTGCAAACGACGAGATAAGGAAATTACTTCGTGTAACGAAGTTCGGAGACGTGCCCCGGAGAATACACCGGGGCCTATGCAGATTCGCTCGCGCGATTACGGCTAACAGATAGGCGAGGCGAGGACGTGAACCGGAGAGGGATAAATTCAGTATTTAACCGTGGCAAGATTCCCCGTTCGCGTGCCTTCTCGGGCGCAACGACGGTGAAGAACGAGCGGAAACGAGCAAGTTTTCGGAAAGAGAACGTTCCGCGACACGTCAGAGATTAATTTCCCCGAGCAGCGACGCGTCTACTCATTCTTTGCTGAGCGACCGAATTTCATTTCTCTTCGAATGGGAAGGAGAAAACGTCGCGACACGCGAAGCAGGATCGCGCGGGAAGCACAATTCTCATTCAACTCTTAAATGGACGATTAAAGCCGGCGCGGTTCAATCTAATTTTAAATTAAAGTTTCAAATAATATCATCTTTTTGAAAATTTACTTCTGTTTGTCAATTCGATGCAAATGACAAAAATCCACATTCGTTTCTCATCTTTCTTCCAATTTATTGTAGCTCGTTGTGATGGAAAGATAAATAGTTCTTGGGAACTTCTTTTATTGACGATAAATGGACTAAATTTCTGTTCTTGTTAAATCGTGTTCTTGTTAAATGAAATCCTATTGATAAGAATGTTAAACGATATAATTAATTAAATTTTGTAAATAAACAAATGCGTGTTGAAAACGCGATAGCAACAAAGAGCAATTAAGCAAAACTTCACTGCAAAATTATGGAACATAAGGCACGAAACACAGCTCGAACTTCATGATAATCGATGCCTCCTGCTGTATAATCGAAGCTAAAGATCGCAGCATGGGTTCCGCTTCCGTTCCGCTCGGATCCGTGACGCGTTTACTCGGCTTTCGTTGCCAGCCAAACAATCCGGCTCCAATTTCATTTTAATTACACCGCGATCTTTGTATTTCCATTTCGAACGCTACAGACAAGCAATTTTATCACCGACAACCGAGGAGATTGTTGCACGCGTTTTTTTCTCTGGATCGAATTTTTCTAACAGCTCGGAGAAGCTGGTGCCAGCTGCTTTCTCCAATGAATCGTATGATAATAAATTACAATGTAGTTAATATTTCAGACATTCAAATATCCACAGTGGAATATAATTATCTAGAAATGCAAAATAAATATGTTAAAATATGAGAAAGACTTTACTGCTTTAATGTATTTTCATTCATATCTTTCGTTCACAGAAGGAAAAAACAAAACTCTCTTTCCGCGTTACGTAGAAATCCTATGGAAGCTCTTGCAACTGAATGTTTTGCTACTATTGCTTCTTCTTTTTACGAATCCGAACGAAGAAATATAATTGAATTTGATTTTCAAAGGAAATACTATGCAAGGGAATCATCGAACAAAGAGTTCGAAGCGGTGAACGAAACGATGGATATATCGGAGCTCACAAAGTTGTGCGATGCTCGATAGCCAGACGAGATTGTCAATAATGGGTAAATGGAACGAAAGTTTCACCAATGAAACTTTCATTTTCTCTCTCTTTCTCTTTATAGCTACCGGTTTTTACCGTGCTATAACTCGCTATGCTAACCGAGTGGTACGTCGACAGTTATTCATGGACGTTGACCGTCTACTTATTAAAATGGCTAATTGATACGAAATCGATGGGGGAAGCACGTTTATTGAACGGAAATTGCGAATCGTCCGCTAATTGTTCCACCACGTTTACCATCCTATAACGGCTGAACGCAAGCTCACCGTTATTCTCGTAACAACTATAGTTCTAAACGACTATAATTAGATACATACTAGTTAAGGGGAGTTCGGCATTTGTCAAACAAACGATCAATATTTCGTTGTCGTGCAAGTTATTGTATGCAAAAGAACAGTGAGTAATAACTCGACACACTTGCACGACTCTGATTAGTACTCTTTTTTTTTTCAAAGCAATAAACTGTTCGATACGTTCAAGAAATAGAAATACTGATAAGCATGACAATCTCGACGTATTCATGTATGTATATAGTAATTAGAAACCTGAAGTTTCAGGAAATACAGAATTTTGTAGAATCTCGATTAAAGGGATTTCTGCAATGAGGGGACTTTGTCTTGGAGTAATTTCAGCAAACTGACGGGAACGAATTCAAAATCAGATCATTTTTTTGAAATGCGTGTCAATCACGTATACGTGTCTTTTTCTTTTTCTTCTTCTTTCAATAAATAGAATTGAAACATTAATCCTCAATGTCATAAGAATAAATCAGAACCAAATTATATAGAATTTTCAAGCAAAAAACTAAAGAGAATGCCATCAACTTCCTACCACGCCCAAGCTTTCCAACTTTCAAAGCAGTTGTCCGATTGAAAGCAAAAGTAAAAAGGAAAAGAGAGAGAGAGAGAGAGAGAGAGAGAGAGATAGAGAAAAGCTCTTTAATTTGTATTCTCGAACGAAGGTTAAAAAAAAAAAAAAAAGAAAAAAGAAAACCTCGGTTCCGTGGATATCGCGGAGCACGTTGCCCCCAGCCGAGTAGCAAAGAGACACAAAGAACGAACTTTGAAAATCTCTCTCGGCCGCTTTGAAAGCCGCAGGTCGTTCCTCCATCTTTTCGATGCCGGCTGCCGCTTAATGTCCGTAGCCAGACCGCCGATTCCTTTATCATCGGTGTTTCTCAGCTTCTCGCCGCGTTCGTAATTCCGGCTTTCAGACATTCAGACACCGGTGACCACCGTGACACTATTACGTGCGAGCGATCCCAACCAGCTGGTTAATTTATTTACTTGTCCGCGTCGCGCGGATATCGATATCTCTCTTCGATTGATAAATCGCAATTAACAGAACCCCGTCGATCAGCCGATGAGAACGTCGAGAACTTCAAATCTTCTTCGTTCGAACGATTAACGAACGAACGTGAGACATTGTCCTCGTCAACGTGGAAATGCGATTCGCAAGTTCAGTTCCCTGTGCAAATGCGGCGACTTTGATCTGGAAGTCCGTCTTACACAGGATGCTCCTGTTTTCGCA